GATCGTGCGCAAGGAAGAACTAGAATCAAAAGGGATCGAAACAGAGATAATGTACAAAGAACTGATGAATTGCGTATCACCCTGGAGACGTAAGAAGCTGCAGCAAGAGGCTGACGAATCCCAAGCTGCTCTGGATGACGCGCTGAAAGCGGCCGATGAACTAATGAAGCAATCTAAGCAGGCCTTTGATGTAAGTAGTTCGTAGCTTTGCAGTTTGGTTAACACGCGTTCCAACGGAAGATAATTTTCTTTAGCACCGTCTAGTGTCCGATGATATGTGTGGATCGATGCATTAATATGCTCGCATGCATTTATTTGTTGCTAAGGTGATTTCACTCCCAGTTTTAAGCACCTTTGCACGTCAATCATTTATTTACAAGGACGACTTCCTTGATGGGCTTTGTAAGAACGTTATTCTAATCCGGGCTGAATGCGTGCTTTAGCCCATGGTTATTGCTTATGCCAGTCGAACCTATTAAGCAATGTCACCAAGCGAGCTGCGCCCCCGGCGAAGGTTAAAATGTAGTGTACTGCAAAGACACCCGACGACCATAATTTCACGCTTGCTCCTAATTGTTTTCTAGGCTTATCAAACCGTGCAGGATGCTAAGCGCAAGGAGGCAGCAGCCGGCGATCTGTTCTGGAAGTCCAAGGTCATGCACAAGACACTCACTGCGTGCATTCAAGTTGCTTGCAACGCGGAGAGTGCTCGTGACCAGCTGGCCTGGGCTGACAAGATGGGGAAAATCATGAACTCCATGATGTCAATTTTCCAAATTTTAGATGACCTTAAGCACCAGCTGTCCAAAGAAAGGTACGCTTCTTTTCATCAAAATATATGTAGTTTGCTGGAACTGTCTGACATTGCGTACATTGTGACATGCGTACTTACGCTATTTGTTCGTTCACATCTGTACCTCGCTATTCCTTCACGACGGGTGACCTGCTCGTTTCAGGGCGCTGACCAAGTCGCTGACGACTCTGGTGCAGAAGAGTGACGAGGGCGGCGCGCTCGATCTGCGCGCTCTCAGCGGACACGGTGACGAGGACATCGCGCTGCTGCTGGCGCGCGCCAATAGCAGCCTAAAGCGCCCGGCCGAGCCCGACCTGTTCCCCAGCCGCTGGAGCTTCTTCCAGCGCCGCCGGCTGTCGCTGCTGCTGGCCGCCGTGCTGTTGCTGATCGGCGGCTGCTGGCTGACGGCAGCGCCCGACCAGCGGCCGGCCGAAGTGCTGGTGCAGCTGCTGCGGTTGCCGGGGGCGGCGCTGCACTCGGCCGGTCTACTGCACAGCGGCGAGCCCTCCTGGTGGGAGGCGGGCCAGCTCTGGCTGGTCAGTGTCATGTACAGTCTGGTCTGCTGGATCCCCGGCCTATGCAACAACGAGCCGGCCGGCTGGTCACTGGCGGAAAAACTGACCGTCTAGGAAGCGCCAGGCGAAACCCAATACGATCTCTTGTGTTTCGTGAGATGCGCTGGCTGAAGGACCTGTGTCAGCGCCTTCATCCTAACCGAACACCCGTGTCCCTGTCACTGTGCAGTCTTCAAGGAGTCAAACAATAAAATTTGGGCAGAGTGAGTCGACTATCAAATAGTTTTGATTTGTTAATGCGTGATGCCGGAAATGGATGAATACGGTGCAAAAACATGTCGGGAATCATTTTTTGAAGAACGGATCATTCTCACTGGACCATAAAAATTTCAACCCCTGGTCGTGAGACTCTTGCAGGCCAAGGGCACTTCTACCTTAGAGCACTTAAGAAGCAGGCCGACCAACAAAATGTGCAGGTACGTGAGGGGCACTCCGTGTTTCCTTGGAGGAGCCTTTCCCAAAATATTTGCCTAGTCCGCCACTTTGTCACCGAAATCATCAAACAATGCAGAAACACACACAGCAACAAAAATGGCAACAGCGTTCCCATTTTATGGGAAAGCATGTTTCCGTACACGCAATGATGTTCACTTGGCTCTGCTGACGCGCACCTCCTGTGCACCTAATACGGCCAGGGAAAATGTTAGCAGTGACAAATGTCTAGCACATGGTACATGTTGCATACGTTGTTGATCTGCCGGGCTGGATCCCCTTTAACTGAATGTGTATCACCACCTGGATGCCACGAGTGCTCTTTTAGGAGCTCACTGAGTATCGCAGCTATAAGCCAAGGGCTAACACTTACACCGAGCTGACCTCAGCAGTCCTATAGCTCGATGAGGGAGCGACACCCGGGGCCTCATTCTCGTCGCGGGCCGAGCCGAGGCCCACCTCAGCTGCAGCGCGGTCCGTCGCGGCCCAGCAGCGTCGGGCTCAGCGGTCGGACGGCGGCGAGAGACGCGCTCCCACCTGTCGATCGAGAGGGAGGCAGCCGCCGCGCTGCCATTTCTGGTGTCGCAACCAGCTGCTTCCGGCGAGTGCTGCTTGGATAAACCAGCCGTCACCCGACCCTTAGCGGTCTGTGGCAGCCCTGGCGAGGCGGGGGTCAGCATCAATGCATTTGCGAGGTGGAGCGACGCCCGCGCCGGCCCTGATCGACGCGGCACCTTTCGGACGTAATGCGAAGCTTCAGGGAAATCTTAGAGGGCGCTGGCTGTCGTCTGTTAGTATAGGGGTCGCTACTATCTACCTGTTTCAGATACCGAGCCGTATCGCATGGTTCAGTTAGTGAAAACACGGCTTTGTTTGCACAGCTAACTTCAGCACTAGCGCATAGGAACTTCAGTTTCACCTGATAATCTATCACCTCAGGTAAATTATATTTATACGTGGATCCAAGGATCTAAGACGTTTTACAACGCTCAAATCGTCCAGTACTGAATGTCATACCATCGTCATGCCCAATGGAAATTTATCTTGGTGGTAGTTATCAAGACACAATTAATAAGCTATGTATATCTATTTATCCATCTTAAGGGGCAGATTTATAAATATATGAGTATGCACACACACATACGCACGCACACACACACACACACACACACACATATATATATATATATATATATATATATATATATATATATATATATATATATATATATATAAGGGACTGTCAACACCTTGAATTGTGTCCCTCTTGGAAATGACATGGTTACTGTTTGGGCTTTAGCGAGCTTCATGCGTCCCTGAGCGAAGCACCGTTGAAAACACATTTTAACGCACCAACCACCATTCAAGTCAAACCCAACATGAGCTAATGAGACGGACCGCTGTGGCTCGGTGATTCAAATATATATAACTAAGTATGTATATATATATATATATATATATATATATAATATATATATATATATATATATATATATATATATATATTTATGTATATATATATGCATATACATATATATATATATATATATATATATATATATATATATATTTATCTTGGGGACCGCTAAGGGTATATATATACATATATATATATATATATATATATATATATATATATATATATATATATATATATATATATATGTGTGTGTGTGTGTGTGTGTGTGTGTGTGTGTGTGTGTGTGTCAGTGTATTTATGTGAGAACCACTGCATATCTATAACGTCGTTGCTGAGAGCCAGGATCAAACAAGGCGGAAGTGATCCCATGTCAAATCAATATTAAAAGTAAGGCAGCTTGCGAACTTGTTGATATTGATCTCCTGACGCAGCTCACTCTGACCAAGAAGGACGTTTGCCACGTACCACTACCCAGGTCTGAAGCCTCTGACGCGTGAAGTGGTTACCGTTCCCGGCTATGCGTCCGGGCCGTCACGTCCTTCCGCGCGGGCTACGGCACCAGCTTCCGCTGGGTGGGTACTTGCGTGGAGCAGTGGGGCCTTAAGTCGGGCTGAGGGAAGGGCCCACTCAGTGGCAAGCCCTTTTCCACGAAAACTTTGCAAAGAGACCTTGCTCGGTGCACGCCTATCTCCATCCGGTGCCTGCCCTGCTGCACTGGGAGCACTCGACCGTCAACGTGGCCAGCCGGCGATCACGGTGACCGGGACTCTATGTAACTTTGCCAGGCTGTTAGCCAGGCAAGTCAAGTTAGCCGTTAATCATGTTCTATTCATAGTTGATGCAGAGGAACCCGTTTGCAAAGGCCTTTTGGTTTTTATGTAATTTGAGAAAAATATAGCACGAAGAACTTAGTTTCACCGCCCTCCAATGCTTTGGGTCCGGGCATCCATAAGGCTGATATTATTTTTTAGGAAATGCAGGTGTGAGCGCGGCCCACTCGGCCACCTGTTCTTGCGTACATGACGTGGCGTAGTCTTGGTGTGACCCATCGTCAAAATTTTTTGTCGGGAACGCAACATTGCATTGCTTTGGGAACTGGTCCGAGCTGCCTCAATTTGCAGCTGAGCAATCTCCAACATATGTCCCCACCACCAACTTGCATTTGAGCTGTCCTGCGGAGGCAGCCCTCCAAACCTGAGGAAGTGCGATCATGACAGCCTACGAGAAGCGCAAGCGCAAACGGTACGGAAAATAACGTGGAAAATCCGATATTATACGCATAGATTACTTTCCTATTTCCGTCTTCCATCTCCCCGAGGTCCATCATACCAAGAAAAGAAACTGAAAAGCCAAGCGACGAATGGAAATACATGCTTCAACGTTGGAAAAAACGGCAAAATAAAAAACCATTCCCGGCAAAAATACGCATTTTTGGGATAACCTAGGATGATAGCACGGAGTTGAGACTCTCGACTGATTTTGCGAAACTGCATCCTGCTCACTGCACTCGCAAAATATCCTATAGGTACCCGCGTCAACACGTCCAAACCACACTACCGTGCTTCATGTACTCGGGCAACGACCGCAGACATTCAACATCCGCCTGTGCAGCGCGCCCTTCCGGCAGCGGAAGGGCCGAGCAAACCAGTGCCTGTTGTTGCTCTGCTCCGCCGATAGCCGCGGTCGCTGAGGTGGCGGGGGCGGCTATCACCAGCCGGGGAGCCGGACATCGCGTCCCGCGGCGGCGCGCGGCAACCCGGGCTACCAGTCGTGGCTGAGGGCGCCATGAAGACGCCACTGCAGCTGGCGAGCTGTGTGTTTGCCGCGGCGCTGGCGGTCTCACTGGCCACCGCGGCCGGCTCCGGCGGCGGTCGGGTGAGTCTGCCGCAGCAGCAGGGCTTAGAGCTTGCCATGGAGTACAGTGGGGACATGGGAGATGAGAGGGCCTCTGGCAGTGGAGATGGCCTGGAACCGCACGAAACTGTGGAGTTGGAACGCGTCTCTAATGTCAGCGGCGACGAAGAGTCGAGCGGGGGTCGGGAGGACATGTTTGGCAGTGGAGATGGCCTGGAACCGCACGAAGCCGTGGAGCTGGGACACATCTCTGATGTCAACGGCGATGGAGAGCCGAGCGGAAACCGGGAGGGCATGTCGGTCTCTTCTTTTGATGGAGGTGTTGAAACACCGGAAGAACGCGTCGAAAGCCTGCCGTCGGACACGATGCGACCAGACTGGGACGCGGCGCTGGACGGACTCCAGCGGCTCGTGGAGACGGGGGTTGGCGCGGTGATCGCACCGCATCTAGAGCAGCTCAACGCCAGGATCAACGACCTCGGCGTGGACGTGCTCCGCGGGTCGGAGCTCGCCACAAACATCACGGCAGATATGCGGCATGTGTTGGACGGACAGCGGGAGCTGTCTCACTGCCACCAGCAGCTCGGCACTCTGCAGACGGGCCAGGAGGCGGTCCTGGAGCTACGGCAGGTCGTACAGCAGCTTCAGGCGGACCACAGCGCAATGAGGACGTCTCAGGGACAGGCGATCGAGATTTTGCGGGCCGACCTCTCCGAGCTCCGAAACAATCACAACGCCCTGTTGTCGAGCATCGCGGCGCTCAGCAGCGGCCAGCGGGTTATCCAGGAGCGGCTGACTGTGCTGGGCGCTACCACACAGCGCTGTCCAAACGGCTGGAGTCACAGAGGCGACAGATGCTACCTGATCCCTCCCGAGACAACCACCTGGTACCGGGCCCACCGCGCCTGCTCTCTCATGGACCCCTCGGCCCGGCTGGTGTCCGTGCACGAGCGGAACAAGCAACACGTGACCGCGGTGGTGGCCGCCAGTGACTGTGGCTATATTTGGATAGGTCTGAGTCGAACGGCCGAAAATGGCTGGGGCTGGAGCGACGGCACGGAACTGGACCACACGAACTGGAGCCCCTCGGAACCCAACAACAGTGGCGGTGCCGAGAACTGTGTGGAGATCTACGGGCGAAGCACCCACACCTTGAAATGGAATGATAGATCCTGTGACGCGAAAATCTGCTTCATGTGCCAGATCAACTTGTCAAATTAGCATCCTGTGTCCTGAGCAGTGTAAGGGGATGGTTTGTGTGGTTTACTGTCGTTCATTATTACATGGCCTGAACGGTTTCGTCGTGAATAATGCGACGCATGAAATAGTCTGATTTCATATGACGGAGTGCTGGTTCGAGACTCCAAATCAAACGGGCATAGCAGGGTATTGACACACCACAACGTCATGATGCCAATTATGTCTAAAAAATTTCGGCCCTGGGCTTTCTCCCGGGTGAGTATAGACAACATCACTGTCAAACATTCAATTTGCGCGCTCAAAAAATCATGTCCACTTGTCGGTGTGGGTAGTTACCGACGAGTTCCATAATACGAATGCAAATGTGCATGCATAACATTTTTACCGATACTGACAAGTGGGCACGTTTTTTGAGTGCGTGAATTTTATGTCCGACAGCAAGGGCACAGCCAAAGCTTTGCCAAGGGGGCACAGAGCTGACGAAGGGCCCTCTGATAGTAAAAGACCCCCCGTTGAAACAATCGCCGGATATGGCCCATTTTTTATTGAGGACGAGGTTAACTCATATACATCTACATACACACACACACACACACACACACACACACACACACACACACACACACACACACACACACACACACACACACACACACACACACACACACACACACACACACACACACACACACACACACACACACACACACACACACATATATATATATATATATATATATATATATATATATATATATATATATATGTATGTATGTATATATACGTATATGAATAAATACATACATACATGTATGGATATATATGTATGCATTACCAATGCTTTCTTCTTTAACCGGAATATAGGCCAGCTGCAACCGTGTGATTCGTTTTGCCCCAAGTTTACAATAAATAAACTGACAAATTCATGCGTGAAATAACTGCATGAAAAAAAGCGTCCGCGTCCTTCATTTTACAATGGCAAAGTGACTCTTTCAAACGGAGAGAACCCAGAAATTTCGTCGGAATTTTTATCTGGGTTGCACAGAGATAGCAAGGGTTCCGGAAATACAGACTGAAGATAAAAATGAGTCAATAATTTGGATCAGCATGACCAAACCATGTTTGTCTGGGCCTGTTCCGCGTTCAGTCAGCATTGATAAGTGGCACAAATTATGTAACGTAGTCTTCAGTATGCACGCTCGCATATCTAAGTAACAAAAAACAACAAAACTCGACGCCAGGCGTTGCCGTCCGCCGAGGCCGCGCAACGTCTGTCCCGCGGCCTACATCAGGCCGTGGCCAACAGGTGGACGAAAATGGTGACGCATCTGAAAGGAGTACCTTTGAGCGCTTTGGGCCCCAACTCGTACATTTAGAGATATTCCGGGCGTTTTTCAACCTGTGCGGGTTTTCGACTGATGGCAATGACGTAATTGGTCTTTACAGCATCGTGAAGTGGTGCTGGATTCTGGTGGTGGAACTGGACGAGTAAGATGACATCTCCATTTTCCGCGTTGCTGAAGTTGTTAAACTGTCTAAGGGACAACCTCAAGGCTGTAAAAAAGATTCGCCCAGTGTCGTCTTTGAACTGCACGCATTAGCTTCCAGACATCCAGAAACATTATTTTACGGTGATCATTGCTGCGCGTTCAGCACCCGCCTCCTAGCGTCACTTGCAGTGGTCAACGCCGTCCAGTTTTGCTGAAACTGCGACCCGAGCCATCGCTTCCCTTGCTCCGCGGGATTACGGGCGTGTCATTGGGGCTTTAGGACGCGCTCAGCTGCTGGGGCTATATAGCAACGCCAACCTCTCACCCTGGTGGGAAGGACGGGCACCGCGGGAAATCAAACATCACATCTGGTGGTTTCTCATGGTTTCTCATGGTTTCTCAGACGTGCAGTGGTTAACGCAGGCGACGTAACTGCTACACTAGTGGCACCCGGCGCGCAGGCCCAAACCTTTCGGTGGCATTTGTATCACTAGTGCCACCGCGGCAGCAGGAGCGACCGCTGCGGGGATGTGGGGTGTCGACGGCCAGCCGGCCCGGGTAAGCGACGACCGCCGCGCGCCTCTGGGCGGCGGACGCACAGAGCCGATTGGATCAACTCTAGTTTCCCGTCCCAGGACAACGACCACAGCCCAGTGTCCTAGAAATGCCGACTTTGGGTGTAAAGCAACGCCCTATGAGGAAGAATTTCTCACTCCTTTTGCCCATATTTTATGTGAACCTGGACACCTATGGCTATGTCCTGCCTCACCCACATCTGAATCATGTCTATGTATGCAGAGAGCAAGGACACCAGGCACCTCCAAGCCCAATAACCCAAAAGACTGCAGCTGCTTGCACGCATTAAGTTTGGTTTGTTTACAAAATCCATCACAATCGGCAGCTGTGTGCCAAATGCAAGGTTTTCACGCATCCCTTATTTTTTTGGTCTCACCACCACGCCACCAGCGGAGCCTGGGACAAACACCAGCAAGGCTTGGTAGATAATTTTACTCCACGTATTTCTTTTTTCCCGAGGAAACTTGACTACTAAACTGCATCGCTCCCGAAATGCAGGAGGGAAAAAATTCAAAAATGTCTTCTAGATTAAGTTTACAAGATGAATATCACCATTTGAGCACTCATCTCAACAGATTTTAAGTCAAATCAGCTGATTGCAAAATTTTGCTAGAACAGTATCAGTCTTTATATTTATTTAACTACTTTTGTTTTTCTTGGTATCATACCAGTGTGATACCACTTCATTCTTCCTTCCTTTCCGATTGTCTTTTGAGGTGCCATCTGTGGCTTAAAATGTTGACCAATTTCTCTGCAATATGCTCCAACTGTAAACCTGTGCGTATTTGATACATAAAGTGGATTAATTCGCCAGCCGCCCAAACATGTTTGATATGCACCCAACAGTGACCAATTCACAGGGAATAGGGGAGACAATCTGAAGCACGGAACTTCTTTTTACCGCCATTTTTATCCTCTTAAACCCTCGGTTAACCGTTTTCTTGGTTCATGGCGGTGCTCAATAATGATAAATCTAAGCCTTTCGGGTGTCTAACTCACCAGGCTACCTGAGAACGCTATCCTAATGCTGTCATATAGAGCTTTGGGACAGACCTGACGCAGTAAATACGGAAGTGTTTGATGGCGAAACTTTGCCCCTGGGGATGTTTATCATGCACACCTCTTACTTGTTTCGCATTTTCAATTTCGTAGGTTGGTGGGCATGATTGATATTTATGTTGGGGGCGGGGGGGGGGGGGGGTGAGTGGGACGACGCTGTCTGCCAGCGGACCATGCAAAAGGTATTAGCTTTTTGTTTTGGGGAGCAGGAAAAAGCCAGTAAGTCTCCTGTGGACCTAGTAATTGCTTACCTTACCTGCATTCAAGACATGATTGGTAACCAGAGTTAACCATTTTCTGTTTTAATCCATCGAGTTTTGTCATAAGACAAATAATGGTGCCACAAGGCATGCAGTGGGCTTATTTTGTTCCACATTATTGATTATTTGCCCAAATTTCTTGAAGTGGTCCATCGTGGCTGTTTCAACCAGATGTTTTCTAGGGTTGTCATTGTTTGCTGACTGGCGAATGATTGTACTGTATATATGCACTATATTTTTAACACAATGATACTCTAAGCTGCATAGCAATTATAATCTGAGTTAAGCATTAGTATGTAATAAATAGTCAGGCCATCCCATTCAAAATGTGAAGCCAACATCTCAAACTTTGTTATTGAATATGAATAAACAAGCCTAAATAGATGCCTTTGCTGCAGCTGAAAAGGCAAGCAGGAATACTGGCATGGTCATCTAAAAGTTATGCTACTTTTGGAGAAGAGAGATTTTTGTGGAGCATACACATTATTGCCCTTGTCATAGGTTAACCATGACAATCAAAATAAATTGTTCAAAGTGATTTAAAGTGTTTTGGTTTGTATGTTGTCAACTTTGTCTGATGTCAACAAGCATACACAAATGAACAAAAAAAAAAGAAATGCAAGTTGAAACCAGTCAAAAATTAGCTTTATCATGTTTTATCACAAGTGCTGCTGTCATCAGATAGCTGAGTTGAGATGATGTTCAACATATGGGCTACTCTCAGTTAGGTTAAGTTGGTTAAATGCATGACAAGTGGCAATAGGAATTGTGCAAGAATCAGTAACTCACAACTGCTGCTGTGATACAAACAGGTTAGGCAGGATGATGCGAAGTAAGGCCTCTTTAGGTTAGACATGGTTAGGCTACTTTCATGGAAATAAGCATTGGTATTTTGTAAGAAACAATGACAAATGTTTTTTTCCATCACCCCATCTTAACAGAAGCCAAAGGTATGTCTATTGTGTTTGACTTGGTGATGGACTGATGTGTAGGAGTCCAAGGTTTTTTTAGCGTTTTGTGCTTGTTGAAATTTCTGTTGTTTTTTTGTTATTGAATTCCTTTGCTTTGTTTTGTGTAAAGAATGCTGTAGAAGAGAAGTGCAAAGTGCAGCGTCAAATTGTTGGTGTTCATAATTTTGTTTGCTCATTACACTGTCGTGAAATTACTATGCTTTAATGTATTCTGTTTCACTTAAATGGCCTAAGATGTTAAAAACAAAACAGTTTTGTCAGGTTTCTGATATTACGCCCATGCCAACTTGAAATAGATGTCTTTGTTTGCTGAAGCATCAGTCACGAGCTCACAAGTTCCATCTTTTGTGAATATATTTTTTTCACTCCCGCTCGGCATTTTTGCGATGAAATTTTTACTCCCACCCTAGTTCAAAACCGATTCTAGCTCCCTGCCACAGCCTATCTCGGCTCTACGCCCGCCGCTGCGGACGCGAGTGCTGCCCGCCGGGCGGTACCATCAGGCCCGGCGCAGCGCCGCCAGACTCGACGCCGCCTGTCTCTGCGTCTCGTGCCGGGCCGGGCCGGGATATCCCCCCGCCTCGAGAGCAGCGTCATGGAGCCGGCCTCGCCTGCGCCGGGACGCCCACATCTTCCGGTCCGTTCGCGCTGGGCCGACTCGGCGCCCAGCCCCGTCTGCATAGCACAGCCAGCTCTGTGGCAGCGTCACATTTGCCCCGGGCGACGGTACAAGTTTTGCCACGCGGCCTCGCAGCGTTAGCGCCGTAAATGATCCATGCGTTAGAGGTGGTGTCTTGGATAACGCGCGCGGTGAGTGACTGTGGTCGGTGACATGCTGGTGTCAGGCGCGTCTGTAGCCTCCATTGGGAATCCAGGGCACAAGCGGTCGATAGGGACAGGTAGCTTGCTGGATTACCTGTTCAGTAGCCGCAAAGCCTCCCAAAGCTGAAGTAAATGCCAGTTATCGAGTCGTTTCATTGCGTGCAGCGCCATAGCACTAGTGTTAAATTCTTGGAATCATGTACTTGTTTGCAAATGCACCCCTACATTGTACAACTCTCCTAGGCCATTTAGGTCCTTGACGCATATGTGACATCAACGAGCAGCCAACACACACAACGCAGAATCACAGGGCGCAGTGCCGAATGCGGTTGACGAGAACGCCAGAGGCATCCGTACCAGCAGCAGTCGCGGCGGTCGACGGTTGCGGTGAGGCTCCGCTCTGCGGGGATTACTGATATATGCGTAC